CCCAAAAAAAATATGAAGTGTGAAGGGCAAAGTGGGCAGTGTGGGGAATGGAGTGTGAAGTGGAGAGTGCGCAGTGTGATGTGGAAACTGTGCAGTGTTGAGTGAGGAGTGTGAAAGTGTGAAGTGTGCAGTGGCGAGTGTGAGGTGAGAAGTGTGAACTGTTGAGTGTGAAGTATGACGTGTAGAGTATGGAGTATGAAGTATGAAGTCTCACTGTGATTTGAGCCCGTGGCCATCTGCTTCCGAGACTGCTTCAAAATGCCCTGGGAACTTGGAGCGTAGTGGTTTGGACTGTTCCGTTCTATGTGACGGCCCCCCGTGTGAATAAATAAAAACACTATATTAAACATACATGTATAAACATTTTGTTTTAAATACATGCATGAAAAAATGCATGTATACACATTTTTATTTCTGTTAAAGGCCTTTTGTCGCATAGTTCCTAACAGCCCATCTCTCTCGTGTGGAGGGGGCAGGGGTTTCGAGTGAAAAATTACTGTGTTGGACTCAGACCTGCCCCTCCCCTGGCTGAAGCAAGAACAACTCCAGCTAGCTACCGCTAGTTTTCGTGATTTTAGAGCAACGTATTAATGATTGTAGAAATTGGGATCGGCGAAGAGGAAAACAAAGTGTGTAGCATCAAACATGGTAAAATGTTTTAAAAAATGAAAGGAAAAATCCATGACGGATGAAAGTTAATAAACCGAAGGGAAAATGGTTGAGCGTAGCATCAATGATGGTAGAATGTTGGAAAGAAACGAGACCTCAGAGCGTCGCATTAACAATAGTAGAAAATTCAAGCAATGATCTCAAAGTGACACATCAGTGAAAGTAAATTATGCAACGAAGATCTTAGAGCGTAGCATCGCTGATGTTGGAAAATTGCTGAGAAAATCTTCAATGGTGGTAGAATGTTTGAATGTTGCAGGGAATGTCTTGGAGCAAAGCAACAATGCTCGTAGAAGTGTAACATCATGATGGCGAAATATTCGGCAGTTGGAGTGATCTTTGACGGTACGAGTCGCATTAATGATGTTAGAAATGCAAGAAAAAAACCCTGGAAAGTAGCATCGATGATGCCAGAAAATTGAAGAGAAAATGTTGGAGTGTTGCAAGTTTGAAAACCGAAGAGAAGATCTTCAAGCGTAGCATCAGTGGTTGTGGGTGGCAGACACTTCCTGTGAGGACCCAATTTCTCTGAGCATCTGCTCCTAGAAGCTGTTCCCCGCCACCCCTTTTACCTCTTTTCATTTCAACGTCCCTGCCCCTGCTGAGTTTTTAATTTGCGTTTTTCGTTCCAACATCTCTGTTGCGTTTCGAATTAATTACCCCCCTTTCGTTTTCGACTACGCTCCTTTCCCTTTCGTTTTCCACACGTCCTTTGATTTTAAAGCCTCCGCTTTAACTTTCTAGTTTAGGTCCTGCCTCTTCTGCCTGAGGGCGCACCATTTCGTTTCAAATCACGCTTTGTCGTTTTAAAGTAAGTTCCTTTCCCTGTCGTTTTCCACGCACCGTATCGTTTTGACATTTCCTCTTTCGTTTCAGGTTTTTCCCTTATAAGTTTAGGTCCTCCCTCTTTCATCTCTTTCGTTTAAAGATGTTTAAAGTCACCCCTTTTCGTTCCAACTTCTTTGTTTCGTTTTGAGTCACCTCTTTTCGCATGGCTTGGGTGTATAGTCTCTTTCGTTTTCCACGCGTCTTTTTGTTTTCACGCCTCCTACTTCGTTTCAAGTCACCCCTTTTCCTTTCAACATCCGTCATTCGTTTCGGTCCGGAAATTGCGGAACATTTTCCCTGAGCGGGCGCAAAAAATGTGGAACGTTTTTCGTGAAAACAGCGTGCGGTCACTTGCTCCAGCGGTTGCGGCCACTCGAGTGACTGCAAGTGACTGTTTTATCGAAAATAAAAAACTGTACTTCCTGCGATTCCTGCGTGCTCAATGGGATGGCTGGTTAAAAATGTCTAAAACCGTTTGAGGATAGCTCAAAGTTTATTGGTGGTTGGTTTAAAATTCTATTTATGGTTGGTTAAAATTTGTTTGAATGTTATTTAGTGGTTATTTCAGTTTGTTTAAAGATTATTTAAGGTTGCTGCAAGGCTTGGTTAAGGTTTGATTAAGGTTGGTTATGTAAGGTAGGTTTTGCAGGTTTGGTTTAGAAGGTTGAGACGTGTATAAATTTCTTTAGAGTTTGATTATGGTTTACGTAAGGCCGGCTTAGGTTTTATATGGTTTTCTGGTGTACGTAAAGCTAGTTTAGGGATTAGCTACTTAGTTGGCCAGGAAGGACGGAGTGAGGCCATGAAACCATGGTACATCCTTGCAAATCCCCTCCTGGTCGCGCAAAGTGTGTGTGAGAGAGATGCAAGAAGTGCTGCCCTGCCCATACCTTTCCACCCACATGCTTGCTGCGCATCGCACATCGCCTTGAAATCTACTGCCCCTCAATCCCATGCACAAAGGGTGATGTGCACGTGGTTATAACAATGCCCTAATTTCGCTGTACCCCTCCCCTCCAGAAAAAAAACAAAGACGCTTCCAGAGCTGACTTACGGTGGGCACGCATATCGCACATCCTTTGTCAGTGATTTGCACACAGCAAATTCGTTCCTCTGGCCCAACCACCTCATTGCATGTTGAAGCTCACGAGGGATGCGACCTCCTGTACGTATGATCAAGCATGGCATGCGAAGAATCCTTTGCCCTGCGCTGCGACCTATCTGCTACAGTAAATCGATGATTGCGGCATCTCACGTTCATTCAGTTTTGGTTTGAAGGTGGTGGTGATACGCTCCCACATGATGTTGTACCGCATCGGCATGTGGGCAGCATGTTATTTTTGAGGAAAACTGGTGAATTGGATGTCTGAGTTTGGGCGTGTTGGGCCGTGTTGGAAAGGGTTTCCTAATTTTGCCCTGAATAAGGTGCATCGCCCAACGCTAGTTACCGCTAGTTCACTCCAACGAGATGTGACCATCCTGCAAGAATGTGTACGTCAAGTTTCATTTGCATATTCGTCGCCACAACAAATACCTTCCAACATGTTACACTTCATCTGCAACGATTGCAAAGTATTGTGCAGTTTTTTCGTGTGTTTGGCGCCAATTTGTTGTTGATCGCCGACCGTTTCTGCAACAGTCACGCACAAATAAACATGTATATACTGAGAATCCGAATTCCACCGTTTCCTGTTTGGATTGTTTTTCTGCTCATTCGCTTGCCTAGACGGTGTGTTTTGGCGGTCTGTTTCGCACGGTTTGCATTCTATAATTTTGTCTCAGGCTGTGTTCGGATTGCTGGTCTACTTGGTGGCGGCTGAGTTTGTTGTGTCCTGAAAAACCATGCTAAAGCTCACATTTGAAGTTTAACTGTGCAAGACTGGCACTGCTGCGGCCTGTAAACTCAGTTGTGCAAAAAAACTCATGACCGCTTTGAAATGAAAGGGGCTAGAAACTTTCGAATCATCTAAAATTAAACATGGGGAAAAAAAAACGGTGCGAACATCTTTAAGAGCTTAAGAATATTCGATGAAGAAACTATCGCCTGAGGAAAACGTTTGTTTTGTCAGTAGCAGGAGACTTGGACCGGAAACAAGTGTCATCCCAGAAACATGACGGAGATCGTGGCTGCAAATTGGAGTGTGGGTTATTGCGGGTGGAGCCTCCAAGCATGGTGAACGACAAGCAAGCGGCGCCACAGACACACAGCCACCACACAGCTACGATTGCATCGAACGCGGAAGAGTAGTACCGTATGCGTTTGTGCCCAGTTGTTCGCACTTCAACTTGAGAGCAGGCGGAGGCGGACGAAAGGTAGTGTAGTGGGAGAGGAGTGGTGTCAAAATGCTGCGCCTCTAAGATGATACACCAAAAACGTTTTTGCGCAGTCTAAGATGATTTTATCCAGAGCATGACTGCATGATACGGTGTCTTGTGCAGCGTGAAATGATGCACAAAAAGGGGTTTATTAAAAACCCCTTTTTAAGACCCCTTGCAGCAACTGTTATTGAGGCTGAAGCAAACCAATTATGCTGAACTACAGGGACATCTCCCTCATGGAGAGTGTGCCTCTTCTGTGGCGGACCGTGACCGCGTCACCCGCGGGAATTGAACCCATGACCGTTTTCGGGGGGGGGGGGCCCTTATAATTGATATCTAATACATAACGGCTAGAATTCCACGTTTAGCCCGGGCTGGCCCCCCAATACCCCCTATGCTTGTGCTGAAGCACGGAGAACTGAGATAGCTGACGCTACCTTTCGTGAATTCAGGCCGCAATGACATGAGATACCAGCCGAAAGCAACGCTTCACGATGCTGCTACGCAACGCTTAAAGCGCACTTCCAGGCAACGCCCATTGAGGCCAAAGGGCCGCTTCTGTGATGTAGACAAAACTGAAATGGGACCTCTAATTACCTGCCGAATGGTGGCCTATGGAACCGAGTCCAGTGCACGTCGCCCAAATCGCCCAAGTCGCCTAAATATGAGCGGATCGAAAGGCTCTAGAGAATCTTGTATGTTAGATGTTGGTGCATTTTGTTTAAACGAGGGATAGGGGGTCGAACTAGGGTGGGGAATTTCCAGTTTGTGAACAAATGCGTCGACGCCGGTGCGGGTTCAGCTGCAGACTCAAGAGGTCCAGCGTGGAAGGCGAGCTGGACACTGCGCTGCTGTGCATTGCGTTGCTGTTTCTGTTGGTCAAACGTGGCGCTAACCTTCTTTTGCTGGCAGAGCTTGTGACCTATTGGTTTTGTGGCATTTCTTTTGCTGGCACATGCTGGCGCCGTCTTTTCCGTCGAAGAATGGACCAACTGACCAACTATTTCGTGTGTCCCGTGGCGTCACGCGTCGCAATACTACGATTGAGATGACATCTCACGCCCTTTTGAGCGCATGCAGGTAGGACCCATTTCGGCCAAATCTGGTTGGTGAAACCAACATTTTTTTCAAATCGTTACACGTGCAGAACATCTAAAGCTTCTCTGTACAAAGCGTCATGTGGCTCACGTCCATCTGCTCATGCTCTTCCCGAAGCCCTGAGCTCGTCAAGTCGCTTGGCCGGTGCCCCAAGAATTTCACGGATTACAAGACATCATAGCAAAATATGTCTTCACTATTAGTCATATGTACATTGATAGTATCTACATAATGCGGATCGAAGAAATCCTGTACCAGGGCTGGTTTATCCCATGATAATCCCACCAAACATATCCTGTGCTATTCATATACATACGTATAGACAGTGTGTGAATGACACAGCTGGTAGCGGAGGAATTCACCAAAACTGAATAAGCTGACCCTGTCAGTTGCAAATGAATCCAAATAGAAATGGCCCTGCCAAATGAATGAAAATGGTGGATGCCCTGCACCACCCAAACACGCAGCTGCCCCTTTTGGCACTCAAGACTCCATGGCCGTCCGACGACCGATGATCCACAGCCCTACCCTCCTCAAGTTGCCTGAACCGTAAATGGTATCCGGCATTGCAAATGGTCAAGTCACCACATGCTGACAGGAGTTGGGAACATCACATCAAGGTATAATTGTAGATGAAATCACACTCCCAAAACTTTATTTTTGATGTGATTCCTTCAACCATTGTAGCGCTTGTTTCCTGTGTGCATTTGTTTGAAGACTAGCTGCCTCATCAAACAGTTGAAAGGCCCCTTGTTCTAGTACCGCACGAAGAAGCGATGAGTCCATGTTCTTAGTCAAAGGATCGGCCAGTTGCAGTGAAGTTGGTATCCACCTGAAGAAACAATGTTCCATACACCTTTCCTTGATAAGAAGGACTTCCAGCGTTGTGCGATATTCTTCGCACGATGGCATCGCTCTGCGGCTCACAAGATCATACAGGGATTTGCAGTCCGTTACGACCACGGCAGCATGCATTTGACGAAATGCCTCCGGTGGACTTCTCCACTGGAATTCAGGAATGGTCAGTGTACCCCAAAGCAAGCGGCACCATCCCATCTTATCTACGCTACGTGACATGGAAAAAGCTTCAGCTGACAGTGTTGATCTGACAACTCTGGAGATTTTCTTGGATGACCAGGACAGTGGACTAATGGGGGCCCTCTTATTATCTTGAAGATCTGGTGTAGTGGCAAACACTAATGTTCCTTGAAAGGATGCTAACTGTTTCGGACTGGCAAAAGACGCGTCTCCGAACACAACATGTGTGAGTTTCTGAGGAGAAATGGATCGAAAACATAATCCCACGTCACATGTTTTCTGGGCCTCACGCAGAACTTTGTTGGCCTCCATCAGGGTCGAGACAGTCGGTTTCGACAACTGAACTTGGATTTCCCCAAGCTTTGCAGCCACATCTGGTCTGGTGTTCGTGGTGGCGTACTGCAAACTGCCAATGAGGCCTCTCAAGTTGGACATCTCTTTTTCGGAAATAGGTTCCTGTACCAGGTGTCTTCGATGTTTACCAATCTCTAGATAAGGGATCGCTTTGATGTATTCTGCTTGATTTGCTCTGATACTGAAGTCTGGCAATTGCTCAAGTTGGATTCCTGTAAACACGAATTTTCTTTGCTTATATGACCCGAAAGGTAATTTTTGACGAAGCAATTCTAAACGTGAATGAAACCAGGAATCTCCACCGCAAATGCCGTCATCCACATGAGTACCTAGAGCCCCATGCAAAATTCTTTGTCCATTCTTCCATGACTCCAGATAGTACACGCAAGGTTCAAGTGGATGCATTTTGAAGCCCAAGGTTTGCAGTTGACTGGATAGCTCTTTGTAAAATAGAAGAGGTGCATCTACTCTACCGTACGCATTTCCAATCAGAGCACAGACCTGATCATCAGGTAATTGCATGCGTTCTCGTAATTCTTTTGGGGGTTCCATTGCTAATGGGTTTTCACTATCAGCTTTTCCACGTAAGAAAGCTGTCTTGATGTCGAAGGATGAAAGAACCCATTGTTGCGATGCAATTAGCTGAAGAATGGTATGCCTGCCCTCCCTGGTTAAGGTTGGTGCATCACGATTGACCTCAGTCAGCCTGGGATCCTGATAACCTAGAACTACCAATCTGGCTTTGGCTTTTCTGGCATTGGTCTGTTCATCATCATTACATACATTTTTCCATGTCAGGACCCATCTTGACTTGAGAATTTGATCCGGATTCAAATGCTTTCGAAGTATCGGTTTCAAGGCACTTGTTTGAAGCCAACATGATAACTCAGCTTCCTTGGCAGTGTCGAAAAGCCGTCTTTCGGCTGCGGTCAGATCTTTGATCTGGACTTCGGCTCGGGCCCTTTTTCCGGCAGACGCTACCTGAGCAAGTTCTTCCGGATGGGAAGACTGAGACCACTGTAATAAATCCTGGCGAGACATTGGAACTTCTAGCATGAAACACTGGTGGTCATGATGACACATAGGCTCATCTAAAAGGGGCAAACCATCTTCGGCCAGGCAAATATCGGAGGACTCAGTGCCCGATTGGAACACATTCCATTCGTGAATCGGATCCTCTTGTAGGAAGTCACTGATCTCATAGCACGACAGAACATTCTCTGTCTCGGCTGCATCAACTGGCTCTTCTGTGGGGGTATCTAAATCTATGGCATTTTCTGATTCAAAGTTGGGGAAGTTATCAAAGGGAGGATTATCAGTTATGCTTTGATTGGGACTTATGACGGGTGTGGTTACGTTGGACGTTATGGGCTCTGGAAACAGTTCACTTTCTGGTTGGATACTGGTTTGACTGCTGATGGGAACTTCAGGAACATCTATTGGAGTACCAGGCGTGTACGTCTCATCTTGATTTGAACCTTCATGGATGCTAGGCCTAAATTCCAGGGTACCTTTTGGTCCATCCTGGGAATTCTGGAGACTCTGGACACGGTGGTTTAGAGATTCGGATGCATTTTGCCATTCTCTCAGTGATGCAGGACGCAAGCTCTCGGGTGAACAGCGCAGCAAACGGTCACCATGCGCAACCCAGATTGTGGTGGAACCATCTTGACATACCACCCTTGCAGGCCCATGCCAGCGTCCAGTTTCTCGTCGCCCAGTTGTATTTCTCTTTTTCCAATAGAGTACTAATTGACCTATCTCATAGGTTCCGGGATGCGGTTGTGACTTGCGGAGTAAAGCTCTGCGGATCGCCGAGTCATTGTCGGCAAGCACAAACATGCGTCTTGCTCTGGAACGGATGTCAAGGTTTCTCCGAAAAACTTCGCTTTCAAGGTCAGATCCATCAGCTAGGCTATGGGCTGAGGCATGTTCATCAGATGTTAGGGAAGCAGGCACCTTAGTGGCTTTTCCCAACACAATTTGCTCTGGTGAAAAACCTTGATGACGAGCGAGTGCATTCTTGGCTTGGAAACAGGACTGAAGGACTTGGTCAAGTTCTTGAACGTCTTCAATTTTCTTTTCTTGATCAAAACGATCCAACATGTTCTTGATGATTTGACCATGTCTTTCAATGCGTCCCTTCTGCCATGCTTCGGTGGACAAACGTGGCTCTATGTTCTGTTGTTGCAAGAAATCAAGCCAATGTCCAGCACGGAACTCCCCGGCGGGGTCAGAGTAAATACCGGTCGGTTGTCCGGCCCAAGACATCCACATTTCCTTGAAGACGGGCACCACGTGTTCAAGATGACGATTCTGCAACCTACGTCCTAGGTGGAATAAGGATGCTTCATCTATACAGTGGAATACCATGACTTGAAATCCACCCCGGCCTGTCCAAAAAAAACCATCAATACCCAACAACTCGTTAAATTCTTTTGGATCATGAAGCTTGGCTGGTCTCTGATGACGGAATTTTGAAGTCTCCACACATGCATCGCAAATGTACTCCTTGGCGGCTTCAATCACATGTTTATGGGCTCCGGCTTCTTTGAGGTGATGTGCTAGTCTTATGGGATCTGGGTGACCCAAATTCTTGTGCAATTTCACTAGGTCTTGTTTTTCCTGGGCATTCAGCAACCTGAACTTTGGCCCGTGAAGTGGTACCGGAGGTGGTGCCCAACCTTCACATGGAACATTGCTAGTACGCTCGTGAACTGCAGCTGGCAACCCTTGATTGCCGGACACTCGAATTGCTGTGGGCGGTTCTGAGGGAGCCATCGTCTTCTCAGCATCATCGGCTACTTCTTTTGCGGGTGCAGATTCAATCTCAGGAGAGCATCCAAACATGGTTATGATAAGCTTGCATGGGATACACTTTCGGATGCGTTGAGCTCTGGTGCTCTCATGCCAGTTTTCTAAACCAAGGTCATGAATGGCTGATGTCTCACGATGCAAACATACTGTATACCGCAAAGGAAACTGATGGGACGCTGGGGCTTGAAGTGGCACCTGAAAACGTTCCGTACCCCTGCACACAAACATGTCTGTGATCTTCATGGTGGTTTCCAAAATGGTCTGGGCGTGACTCCATGCTGTTGAATCTGCAGGACATCGGGTGTTGCCTACGCGTGGTGCGAAGGTCTTAGCCTCCTCAAACACAGCTTGCCAACGTTCGGACGATGAACATGCTGGTGGAGGAACTTCTGGCCTAGGAACATTGGGATTCGGATCCCTCTGTGGGTGGTCGGAAGCATCATATTCTCTCACTGGCAAGGGGTTTGGCTCACTGTCGGCAACCGTTGGATTCGGATCAGACAAGCTGGATTTTCTTTTCTTGAAACCACTACCATTTGTTTTGAATCGTTTCTTGGGTCTCTCTTCTTCTTCATCATCAAAAACCATGGCATGTTCATCAGATCCTATCATGGTGTGATGAAGCTTGCAGAGTTTTCCGGCCACCATCTTGGCAAAACCCTGGCAATATGTCGCACAGAAACTGGTCAGTCTCTGGCTCTGGCCGTTGACACTGATACTACCCTCAATACGTTGATGAGAGTGTTGATTTGCACACAGGAGACCATTGAGTTCATGAAACAACTGTCGAGACGTGGTGAGAACTTGGCTTCTTTTCTTGAGGAATCGATTGGTCTTGGGTATGCGCAAACCAAAACGGCACATGTCAAAACGGGCTGCCATAGTATGCTGACGAATGAATGCGAAAGCATCCATCTGAATCAAGCTGGAACCTGCAGGCTGCTCGAGGTGGAAATGGCGTTCCAAACGGACCTGATACTCACAAATTCTTCGACATAAGTGGACATGTGGCATTTGCATTTCCTGCTTCTGGGAAATCAAATCAAACATGACTGAACTCTTACCCATGTTGAGACGATTCCAACCACTCCAGGGTCCGCATTCGGGTGCCATCCATATGTGCTCTGGCTGCAGCCTTTCAATCAGACCCCACAATTTTTGTCGACCAGCAAATGTGGCCAGATCCCCATCTTCTTTGGTAAAACGCATTGCCTTGTAACCAAGTCTTTGAACTGCTTCAGTAAGTGGACTATTGTTGTTGGCATAGATTTCCAAAAGGAAAATTCTGGAATTGTTACTGTTGGATTGAACATGGTTGATCAGGGAATCTTCCAAGTTGTTGATAGATTGTTCGAGTTGATGAGAAATTGGACTGTTGGTCTTATCTGTGACCTCGGTCTGAAGATCCTTTCGGGCGGCCAGAACTTCCGCATGGAACTGCTGAGCCTCAGGTGATGACATCATAGATCGCCCTTCGACATCCATAGTTGTCCGAACCGGACAAAGTCCTGTTGCTCCGGCATCAGGCTCGAATATCGAGCTAGGCTCCAGTGAAAGTATCCTGGGTCCTGGCGCATCACTGCCTCGAAGGACTTCCCCTTGTGCTTCCGTCCAAATGAAATCAGATTGCTTCCCCACTCTTCCAGTGTCAGATTTCCTGGAAGCGGCATCGTAGGCACTGGTGGAGCACCTCGATTGGTGGGCTCTGTCACAGGTGTCATCTGGACATTCTGTTGGATCATCACTTCTTCGATCTCTTCGATCTCTTCCCAGGTGGCCGCATGAGATATGACCGAAGGAGCTTTTCCTCGGCGCTGGGTCACTGCGGTCTGAGGCAGAGACATCAACATTGTTGTACTTCCGGCGGAAGCACCTGAGCTTGTTCCCATTGTTGGTCCACGAATCTTGCGCTCGGCTGGCTTCTTTTGGACCATGATCTCGTCTTTCAGATTTTCCAATGCCGTCTTTTGCATGTTGATCTGGTTCATCATTTCTTGCAATTGGCCATGAATCTGAGGATCGGTCTCGATCTCTGTTTCGGTGATCACTTCTTGTCTTTCCAACTGATGCACAAAGATCTGGAGGAGCAAGGTCAACAGGTGGATGATGGCCTCTGCAATCGTCTTGAGCATGCTTACCACAGGCGGCATGGGAGTCGCAGGTCTCTGAAGCACGATTCGAATTGGGCTGCGAGTCACTTGAGCGAAAACTTCTGTTTCGCTGGAATCTGAGGCCAGGTTTGTTTGATTTTTGAGACTGTAAAACCCCTTCAGTCCTACCCATTATGCTATTTTTATGGTTTTCATAACCTAATCTCTCCCCATTAGGCATTTCCGGAACTGATTTGACAGGAATGTCACTGGCGGTCTCTTGGAACATGGCAGCTTCATTTCGTACGCAAATGTCAATCATGTTGATGAGATACAAACCGGTTGGACTGGTCATGAGCTTGATGGGACCGTCTTGCACTTTTCGCATGAAGCATTGATCTGTTCGAGAATCCAACGAGCCATGTAGCATCTTGAAAGCTTTCTTGGAAAACAGAAAAGGAGTGGCTCCTGGAACCACTTCCACAGACAGCCAAAGTTTCTTCTGTTCTTTGTGTTTCAATGGCATCTGGATGGCATACATGCTGGTTAATGACTGGTTGTTTCCAAAACGGAACTTCACCTGGCTGTCTTGCTTGCGAAATCTGGCACTGATCTCTGCTGGAAGAGATTGTTGCAGTCTCTTCAGGGTGCGGTCTCCTATGATACAACGACTGGCTCCAGTATCTAAAATCGCATGGGTGCAAAAGGTTTCTAAGCTACTGTACACCTGCTCGGATGCAAAAGTCTCAGAAAAACGGCAGGACCGGTTGGTCACAGGAGCTTGGTCTGATGAAGGTTCATCAGGGCATTTCCTAGGCGGCATTTGAAATCTCTTGGACTCTACCGGATCACATGCACATTGGGACTTTCCGGAAAACCTTTGAACCCTCTTGGAATTGAAACTGGACATGCGCTGGCTCAAATTGTGAATACCACGATTCTTACACTCATGAGTCAACATGAAACATTCCGCATGACATGACTGAAACTGCAAACTGGATTCTACGGAAGGCATCACATATGCTTCATTGTCATCCTCTTCGGAAAACACCTCATCGACATCTCCAACCGTGGCGAAAACTTCCTGAGGACGTTCATCCATGACCACATTGGCAGATGCTGTCGAAGGTGGACCACCGGATTTTTCGGCACCACTGGCTAATGGGCATTCCGCTTTCCAGTGCCCGAGGGCACCGCAGCGGCGGCAGTGGCTGCGAGCAATCTTTTGAAGCAATGCATCACGGTCTTTGGATCTTTTCCCAAAACCTTTACCTTTTCCTTTTCCATATTTATTCTTTCCCTTTACAGGCCAGAATCCCCTTGATTTCTTCTTTTCAATCAACTTTGATCGTGCCTCAATGTACGTGGTCAAGGCCTCGAACATCTCTGGGGTGTCCTGCAAGAACTCCTCGAACTCGCCTTCGAAGGTGGCCACGGCCAAGGCGTCCGCATCATCCTGGGCCACTGAGGCATCAATGAACTCTTGATCAAGCTCGGGTTCTGCATCCTCAGAACTAGCATGGGTGAGATACGCTCTCTCATAGGTTCCAGAGTCATGTGAGGAAGCTGCATCGTGAGATTCAGAAGTGTCCAGAAAATTTGCATCATACACTTTGGTTCGCTGACTGACTCTTCCGGTCTGAAACTCATTGAAAAAGCGGCTGCCCAGCAAACGAAAGGATTTCACCACTGGCTTGTATTGAAGTTCACCCTCATGTTCAAGGAGAATTCTCTTTTTATCTTCTGCACTGAGAGTTGACTGCCGAAGCAGGACATATGCTTGCACCTCTTCCAATGTCGTGTTTCGTGACAAAAGTTCAGTGAAGTTGGCTTCCATACGGGCCAGGAAAGAATCATGGCTTTCATCATTCCTCTGAGTTGTTCCATACAGAGACTTCTCAAAGTATTCATAACGTTCTTCCAATTCAGTTGAACCCCACGACCCTCCAATGGCTTCTACCAAAGCGGCCACACCATCTGTTGTTTTCACCTTCAACTTGGCCGGGGGAATCTTTGCAATCTTCTTGAACGCCGTTCCTTCTATGAGAAGCGCTGCGCGAGGAGCTAACTGATCCAAGTGTTCCACAGGCCACAGCGACGCTAAAAACTGAAGCTTCTGGGAATACTCTTGGACATTTGTCACACCAGGAACAAATTTGGGAATCTGACTCCAAGGTAATTGAACTGGGCTCGGTGTCGGCTCATCGTCCGGCACAGGCGGAAGGCTACCATCACCACTAGCTGTTGGAGGCATGGTGCCACAGTCAAAACTGAAAGGATTTCCGACCTCCCTGGATCGTCCACTCTTACAGCTAAAGCAAAGTAGCTGGAGCTCGAGGCTCCGCTACCAGTGTGAATGACACAGCTGGTAGCGGAGGAATTCACCAAAACTGAATAAGCTGACCCTGTCAGTTGCAAATGAATCCAAATAGAAATGGCCCTGCCAAATGAATGAAAATGGTGGATGCCCTGCACCACCCAAACACGCAGCTGCCCCTTTTGGCACTCAAGACTCCATGGCCGTCCGACGACCGATGATCCACAGCCCTACCCTCCTCAAGTTGCCTGAACCGTAAATGGTATCCGGCATTGCAAATGGTCAAGTCACCACATGCTGACAGGAGTTGGGAACATCACATCAAGGTATAGTTGTAGATGAAATCACACAGTGTATATATATATATATATGATATGTGTTCACCCACCTGGTTGGACCAGTCGCGCTTCGCCAGGTCCCGGGGATCGGCAGCATCCATTCCAGCCCTGGCGGCGGGGGTCGATTGATGTTATATGTTAGTTATATATATATACATGAATGTGTATATATTATTATATGTGTATATGACCGTATGTGTATATATATATAATTATATATGTATATAATTGATGTTATTTCTTGTAATAATCTAGTAACTTCAATAACTCCATTATCTGTACAGTTACGAACAGGTCTCATGCACACGTCGAGGACTGTGCGTTGACCCAGCGACCCTGATAGAAACTGTCGGGCGTGCCAGTGGAAAGCAAACTCCTCCTCATCTTCTCGAGGACTTACCTGCCGTGCCATGCTTGCCGTGCTACCCATGGTTGAGTCTCCGTAAAAATGGAGAGTAAATATTTGCAAGTCATACTTGAGAGTCGAGACCCCAAATCCTTGATGTTGGCCACATGAAACCCTTGCTGCTGGAATTTTCGGAACCTGGTCATCATAGTAGGCGCCGTATGCACTAGGAGACATACCAGTGCCACCACTCAGTTCTCTATTCACCTCAACATATGTGAACTGGCAAGACTGACGTAGAAGAGTCTCTACAGAGTCTTCCACATCAAATAAACATGGCACTTGAGGTTTGAAAAGCTGATACTTGCACACAGAGTGTCTGCATTTTGGTTTGGTCTCGTTCTTTCCTGGATATCGATGGTGCATCTGACTGCAGTTGCTTTAGGTGGAATGCCGAACTGAAGTGCTGAGAGCTCCGTACACATCTACACCACTCTTGGTTGTGCTGCTCAAACCGGAAGGCCTGGAGAAACCATCAAGTCATGTCTGCATGTCTTCAATGCAAAACATAAACCTTGTCAAAGACAGCGAGACCGAAAGTTGCAAAAAATGCAAAGCAACCCTGAACAGTAGGAGCGAGCAGAAAGAATTCTTCTTTGAGCTCTTTAGCCCCTCATTTATAGATGATTTTCCCCGGTAAAACTTCCATTTATAGGACATGTCCTATTGCCATGTTACCGGAGGGTGACAATGAGCAAAGCAGGGGCCTTGATTTGGGCCACCCAGTCCGGAACTCCCTCCTGAGATGGCTGAAGTTTGAAGTGGCCAGCCACGACTCCAACCAATCACTGCTTTCTGAATGGGCAACGCTATTGTATGTATAGTGACACGTCATGTCATGTCATGTATACCTATGTATGTTTATGTATATATATATAATTATATATAATTATATATATATGGATGTTTCCGTAAAGGTGGGTATCCCAAAATGGATGTTCTACAATGGAAAATCCTACTAAAATGGATGATTTGGGGGTACCATCATTTTAGGAAACCTCCATATTATATATATATACGTATCGTATCGTATAGTATAGTATGGTATAGTATAGTAAAGTATGGTATAGTATAGTATAAAGTAGTATAGTATAGTATAAAATAGTATCGTATAGTATCGTATAGTATCGTATAGTATAGTATAGTATAGTGGAGTATAGCAAAGTACAGTATTGTATTATATTGTATTATGTTGTATTGTATTGTATTTGTATTGTATTTGATTTGTACTGTATTGTATTGTATTGTATTGTATTTATGTATGTACGTATGTATGTATGTATGTTTGTATGTATTGGGAAGTACAACTGTATACAACTGTATACAACTGTACAACCCACGAACCAATCATCAAGCAGCTCCAAGGCTTTTTCAACGCTGGACCGTCGCTGTGCTTCCCAGCCTCTGTCGTTTGGTTGTCACTGGCCACCGCGACGATCTGCGCGTGGGATCGGAGGTGCAAAGCACTGGATTGGTGAAAGACAACAGGTGGTATTGACAAATTGATAATGCAGCTGTGTTGGCTGAAACATGTTGAAACATGTTGAAACTGTCCCCGTTTCTACAAGTTTCTGTCAGTTTCTACAAGTCAAATCCAGCCATGTCCGGATTGGCACCAGCCGTCAGCGGTATTTAGAGACACTTCATCAGTGCCTGTAGCAATGCCGTGGCATACTCCAACACCAAAGGATTCCGCGCCCGCGCAAACCTTAGCTCCGCCCTCAATTTGTTGAGTGGAGTAAATCATGGAGGGCTGGTCCCCTAAGCCGAAGACTGAACTCTTCGAGCTTGGTTCAAAGCACTTGGCTGTTTTCATGTAAAAAAAAATCAATCCACCCAGTGTTTTTTGAAGAAATACCTACTATGGCACTGGGCCCACTGGGCATGACCAGTTGAAACACTGAAGCTGGTCTCCGAGCTTCAAACCTCATGATGCATGGCGCCAGCTCTGTCTCTTGGAGAACAAAGTCACGCACCTCTCATGGCAGGGACATGATCTGATTGCAGCTGCTGAAAAACGACTGCCTAAAGTACTTGACTCATAGTGGGTAAACAGATATATATATATATAGTATACCTGGTATATATGTATACATACCATACATGGTATGTATGGCATAATTTGAAATGCTAAAAACGGCTATACTAATGGTATGGGTCAATTTTCTAGACCCTTTTTTGATCACAGATGCTGGCCTTTCGCCCATGGCCCATCGCCTCATCGTGAGAAACCAGGCACTGGAAAGCAAAGAGCAGCTGCACAACGATCTCCTCCAAGACATCGGAGTTGGGCGTTGTTGGGCGTTGGGCATGGCCAAAATGTGGCCAAGTTTTAGAGGGGAAAAAAATGATGAACACTGGCGATAAGGCGCCTGATATTATTGATATTGGAAGGAGCAGCAAGCTCATGAGCAAAACATAGCAGTCACACCGGGATTTGGCTCCTCGTCCTCCCGCTTTTCGATCAGCAAATCCTTCACATATGTTTCATTGAGTGCAAAGAACTGCAAACCTAGCGAGTCTGGAGTATTTGACATCGGACTTAAGGAGCCAAGAAGTATGCAATCACACAGATCAGCAGAAGGCGCAAGGCTTGTAAACAGGAAAAAGTAGAACAAGATTTCTGGAGCCTTTTGCAATTAGCTTTGACCCAAGTGACACACCTCTGCAAAACTAAAGACCTCAACAGCCTTTCAAGATCAAGATATTCTGTCCTGCATCATTGAAGGCAACCGCGACTCTGCGACATGCTGCACAGAGTCCTTGCAAGCCAGTGACCCCTTGGTGAAAGAAATTTGGATCTGAGCTCTGCATACTCTACCAGACTCTACCAATAAGCACGCCGAGGAGACCCGACTCAGAGCCAGATTGCTGATGAGCAACACGCACTCCAAGACAACATCGTCCTGGCGACATAAAATGGCAGCACGTGCTGTCCACTTAATGTAACATGCATGTCTCTCTATGTGTATGTGTACATGATTGTACATGTATATTTGCAAATGTATGTGAATGAAACCCTCCATCAATCCTCACATGCTGCCCACATCTTGACACACGGTGACGAAGACTAATTCAACCGCTATTCAAAGACTGATTCAAAGTCTTTTTTGGGCGTGTGAAGGTTCGTCAATGTTGTTGATGCCATCGATAAAATCCTCCAAACAAATTGCTCCAAGATCTTTACCCAAACAAACTCGTTGGCCTGAAGTACTTGAAAGATTCTTAAACCACAGAACCCAGTTTCATCGATGATCTGATCCCAAATTTGCACATGTTGGTATAAGATGCATAGTTTAATTTGGGTCCAAATTCAATTGTGGCATAATAATGCATAATATAGTTCAACAGCTAGTTAGTTAACCAACCGACCAACCAACCATACCAACTAGCTGACTAATCATAAAATAAAACCAACTACGTAAATTACAGGAAACTAACCAACTAAAATTTTGCGCACAAAAAAAAAAACAGGGGCGATCCATAGCCGCCTCAGAGAAGCTGGGCACCAGCAGCCGCGTCATGAGCTCTGTGAGACCTGCCTCGCAGAGCTCTCCCCAAGCCACCTGAAGGGATCGGATGGTTGGAACTGTGAGACGCAGAAAAATCAGTGAAAACATGCATGGCATTGATACATTATATGTATATATATATTATAATATATAATATATATATATATACAAAGATCGATACACAAAGAAATGATGATCATCGTCGGCGTCATCGTCCTTCTCCTCGTCATCAGCATCATCATCATAATCATCATCATCATCATCATCATTGATTTGTGTGTGTATATGTGTTTGTTTTTCATCTGCATATTGATTTAGTCATTTATTCATTTACTTGTTTATATGTATGGCGGATGACCTGAAATTTCAAATCCGCTTCACTGGGGTACAGAGTGAGCTGGCATTGAATGTCTATCAAGCCCTAAGTTCCAAGAGCCTTGACCCAACCAGAATGGAATCTTTATCAGGGCTTTGGATGTGGGAAATTCATTCCATTGTCATCCTCCTGCTAACCACTGCCTAAACTAAATGGACCAATATGCCAGCATTTGGGCAGACTGCAGCGGGTGCAAAGCATATTTCTTCTTCTAAAGCTCTCACTGCTGAATGCAAGCGGGGCATGATTGACAAGATTCGCTCTTTTGTGGCGAGAAAACCTTCCGGCAACCTCCGGATGACATATCTGAAATTAGTGGGAAAGGCACGGCTGCTATGTTGCTATGCCATGTCAACCACCGAAAGCTACTTTTCTGATGTTTACTGGCCTCCTTTGGAGGGATGTCTTTTGCATTTTTCACTTCTTTCATGTTCGTTCTCACGCAGCGGCTCAAAATGCTGACTGAATCCGTAGCACCACAGATTGCTCAGAAAATCACCTTAGATTGAAAATAGCCAGTGCACCAATCAGCACTTCTCAGCAAGAACAATAACAAAAACTCACATGAAGAATGACAGTATGGGTCCAAAATGTCCAAATCCTGATACCCTGAACATCCACTACCAGTCGCTGTAGCTGTCCCAAAGCTCAGAGATTTTTTGACCCATCCCCACATCATCCCCCTGAATCCTTCGACATCCTTCGACATCCTTCGACCATCGCACCCGAAGACTGGTCCCGCGTAGGAAGGCGCAATCACATCACTCCCACCTTTTGGGACAAACCTCGGCTGAGATTCCCTGGGGAAATCCCCGATGCCTTGGGGCTATGATAGCCATGGCTTAGAAATCCTGCGAAAGAATCGCTGGGTTGATTCAATATGCACATTCCCCACTGAAGCGTGCGTTTGAATTGGAGTATCCATCACACCTGGCATTTCTAAAAGTTAAACGGGTTTCTCTTTCAATCAACTACTAGTAGGTTCTACTCTTGTGTACGGCCTGTTCTCACACTGAGCTCCACACACAAGGCTCAAGGAATTCACACAATGGCGTTCATCGGTGCAGTATCCAAAGCCCTGACACAAGCAGTCGCTACTGCCGGATAAATTGGATAAATATATAGGATAAATTGACAGCAACTGTCAAGCAATTTTATTTCTCCGCCTCACCCCGGAAGACATGGCCCAAGTGGCCAGCACCTCACATCCACGACATCCACGAGAGAAGTACATGGCCGACTGGATACATCTGGATACTGGATCACACCTCTCCCTCGTTATTCCAAATTTGAGGCCGAGACATCTGGAGCAAAGAATCTCACACCTTCAGCATATGCTGAACGTGCCCTCGATGAGAAAACTTCCAACCATTCACCAACGTACAGAAGTAAAACAGTGAAAGGATCACCCCGCACTATCGGCAGGGCGCCATGGTAGCATATACAATCTAATCTTTTCCGATTTACACATATTTGTCCCTCATCTTCTCTCCTGCTTTTCCTTTGGGACACAAACTTGTCAAATTCACAGACTTACCATACCATTGGACCGTGCTGCTGAGGTAAGGCTTTCTCGAGTTTGCCATTTACCGTCTTACGTGTCTGATTTGTTCCTAGATTTGCCGTTTGACAATACCTGGTCCAGGAAGCCTACTCAGGTGTCACGCATGTTCTGTCACAACGAGAACATCGGTTCGCTTCCAGTGGTCACTTGCAATATCTGATTATCTTGCAATCCACATTCCCGAGAAGACCCTCTAGCCAATACACCGACAGAAATCCATGGAAATCCACTGTATTTTGATGGTTTGGCCTTGGAAACTGCTTGTTTTGGACTCCATCAGTTTCCTTGAGGTCGCCTGCGCCCATCAGCATCTCTCTGCTCATAGACAGCATCCTGCAAAATGGAAACGTCAGTACATGTCATAACCCCAATCAACTCCTACCTGTCAACAGTCTTGGGGTGCTATACCCCAAATTATAGCCAATTCAGTTCGGGATGGATACTTGTCTGCATATCTATCTATTGATCGATCTAACTATATATCTATATACATAGATACTATATATATATATACATATCATTGTTCCCCAGTGCCCAATATATACATACATATATATATATATACAACCGTATGTATATATATATATGATGATATGTGATGATATGTGATGATATGTGATGATATGTGATGATATGTGATGATCTGTGATGATCTGTGATTATCTGTGATTATCTGTGATGATATGTGATGATATGTGATGATATGTGATGATATGTGATGATATGTGATTATATGCGATGATATGTGATGATATGTGATGATATGTGATGATATGTGATTATCTGTGATGATATGTGATGATATGTGATTATCTGTGATGATATGTGATTATCTGTGATTATCTGTGATTATCTGTGATTATCTGTGATGATATGTGATGATATGTGATGAATGTGATGATATGTGATGATATGTGATGATATGTGATTATCTGTGATTATCTGTGATTATCTGTGATTATCTGTGATGATCTGTGATGATATGTGATTATCTGTGATTATCTGTGATTATCTGTGATGATATGTGATGATATGTGATGATATGTGATGATATGTGATGATATGTGATTATCTGTGATGATCTGTGATGATCTGTGATGATATGTAATGATATGTGATTATATGCGATGATATGTGATGATATGTGATGATATGTGATGATCTGTGATTATCTGTGATGATATTTGATGATATGTGATGATATGTGATTATCTGTGATTATGTGTGATGATATGTGATGATATGTGATTATCTGTGATTATCTGTGATTATCTGTGATGATATGTGATGATATGTGATGATATGCGATGATATGCGATGATATGTGATGATATGTGATGATATGTGATGATATGTGATGATATGTGATGATATGTGATGATATGTGATTATCTGTGATGATATGTGATTATCTGTGATTATCTGTGGTGATATGTGATGATATGCGATGATATGCGATGATATGTGATGATATGTGATGATATGTGATGATATGTGATTATCTGTGATGATCTGTGATGATATGTGATTATCTGTAATGATATGTGATTATATGCGATGATATGCGATGATATGTGATGATATGTGATTATCTGTGATGATATGTGATGATATGTGATGATATGTGATTATCTGTGATTATGTTTGATGATATGTGATGATATGTGATGATATGTGATTATCTGTGATTATCTGTGATGATATGTGATGATATGTGATGATATGTGATTATCTGTGATTATCTGTGATTATCTGTGATGATATGTGATGATATGTGATGATATGCGATGATATGTGATGATATGTGATGATATGCGATGATATGTGATGATATGTGATGATCTGTGATGATACGTGATTATCTGTGATTATCTGTGATGATATGTGATTATCTGTGATGATATGTGATGATATGTGATGATATGTGATTATCTGTGATTCTCTGTGATTATCTGTGATTCTCTGTGATGATATGTGATTATCTGTGATGATATGTGATGATATGTGATTATCTGTGATGATATGTGATGATATGTGATTATCTGTGATTATCTGTGATTATCTGTGATGATATGTGATGATATGCGATGGATATGCGATGATATGTGATGATATGTGATGATATGTGATGATACAGAATGTGATGATATGTGATGATATGTGATGATATGTGATGATATGTCATTATCTTTGATTATCTGTGATAATATGTGATTATCTGGGATTATCTGTGATGATATGCGATCATATGTGATGATATGTGATGATATGTGATGATATGCGATGATATGTGATGATATGTGATTATCTGTGAGTATCTGTGATGATATGTGATGATATGTGATGATATGCGATGATATGTGATGATATGTGATGATATGCGATGATATGTGATGATATGTGATGATATGTGATGATATGCGATTATCTGTGATTATCTTTGATGATATGTGATTATCTGTGATGATATGTGATGATATGTGATGATATGTGATTATCTTTGATGATATGTGATGATATGTGATGATATGTGATGGTATGTGATGATATGCAAGGATATGTGATGATATGTGATTATCTGTGATTATCTGTGATTATCTTTGATGATATGTGATGATATGTGATGATATGTGATGGTATGTGATGATATGCGATGATATGTGATGATATGTGATGATATGTGATTATGTTTGATGATATGTGATTATCTGAGATGATATGTGATGATATGTGATGATATGTGATGATATGTGATGATATGTGATTATCTGTGATGATATGTGATGATATGTGATGATATGTGATGATATGTGATGATATGTGATGATATGTGATGATATGTGATGATATGTGATTATCTGTGATGATCTGTGATGATATGTGATTATCTGTAATGATATGTGATTATATGCGATGATATGTGATGATATGTGATGATATGTGATGATCTGTGATTATCTGTGATGATATTTGATGATATGTGATGATATGTGATTATCTGTGATTATCTGTGATTATCTGTGATGATATGTGATGATATGTGATTATCTGTGATTATCTGTGATTATCTGTGATTATCTGTGATGATATGCGATGATATGCGATGATATGCGATGATATGTGATGATATGTGATGATATGCGATGATATGTGATGATATGTGATGATCTGTGATGATATGTGATGATATGTGATTATCTGTGATGATATGTGATGATATGCGATGATATGCGATGATATGTGATGATATGCGATGATATGTGATTATCTGTGATGATATGCGATGATATGCGATGATATGTGATGATATGTGATTATCTGTGATGATATGTGATTATCTGTGATGATATGTGATGATATGTGATGATATGCGATGATATGTGATGATATGCGATGATATGATGATATGCGATGATATGTGATGACATGTGATGATATGTGATGATATGTGATGATATGCGATGATATGCGGTGGTGTGCGATGATATGCGATGATATGTGATTGTCTGTGATTATCTGCGATGATATGTGATGATATGTGATGATATGTAATGATAAGTGATGATATGCGATGATATGCGATGATATGCGATGATATGCGATGATCTGTGATGATATGTGATTATCTGTGATTATCTGTGATTATCTGTGATGATATGTGATGATATGTGATGATATGTGATTATCTGTGATGATATGCGATGATATGCGATGATATGCGATGATATGCGATGATATGTGATTATCTGTGATTATCTGCGATGATATGTGATGATATGTGATGATATGCGATGATATGCGATGATATGCGATGATATGCGATGATATGTGATGATATGTGATGATATGTGATGATATGTGATGATATGCGATGATATGTGATTATCTGTGATTATCTGTGACGATCTGTGATGATATGTGATATGTGATGATATGTGATGATATGCGATGATATGCGATGATATGCGATGATATGCGATGATATGTGATGATATGCGATGATATGTGATGATATGCGATGATATGTGATGATCTGTGATGATATGTGATGATATGTGATGATATGTGATGATATTCGATGATATGTGATGATATGCGATGATATGTGATGATATGTGATGATCTGTGATTATCTGTGATTATGTGTGATGATATGTGATGATATGTGATGATATGCGATGATATGCGATGATATGCGATGATATGCGATGATATGCGATGATATGTGATTATGTGTGTGTGTGTTGATCCATCTCGATGGTTAAATCCCTTTGTTTTCTGGTTAGCGGTCTACGTATGTTTTTTCTTTAGTCGCCCCTTAGCCCCATCGTCACCGGCCCTGCACCTTGACATTCGCCCAAAAGCCCGGCCAGCCACAGCCGCAGTCAAACTTCATCTGCGAGGTGTAGAGTGGCACCTGCTGCGCTGCGGAGAGTGGCATCTCATTAAGCCATCAAAATCCATCGGATAAGGAATATGATGATTAACCATCAAATTTTGAAGTACACCCATTTTCAGATAAACCCATCGAACAAGGAGAGAATGACTGCTACTTGACATCAAATGCTGACATGCTATTGCAAGATGGTAGGTATGAGTCAAAAAAAAAAGAGACTTCTATTCATATCTGCCCCACCATTGCACATCGACGAAACAACCCAACATTCCCCTCGGCCAGGCAGGAGCAAGCCTTCTGCCCAGCTGCATGACAACCAGCGCAGAAATAGACCCCAGCATCTTTGTGGTCATCAAATCCTGAGGCTATGGGGAAAGGGATCGTTCCATAACCCATAAATCAGCTATTTTAGTTCCTGAAAACGACGTCTTTTTTTTGGTGATCCAAAAAGCAGGATGATGAGAAAACCAAAAAGCAGCTCCGCCTTCGGGGAATTTGGTGCGGTGCCCAGGCTCAGTGGCCTTCTGTCGCAAAACCTGTCGCAGCAACTCAAGGGGTTTTGCCTCAATTTAAGGCATGAGAAAAACCATGCCAATTGCCTGAAATATCACCAAAACTGCAAAAGATTGAAAACATTTGACAACGAGTCTTGAATTCTCACCCCCTCCTTGTAGACGTTTGGTCGCAGCTTTGACGTCCATTGATCATCGGGCAACCTTCCACGGACTGCCGATTGAGTCGAGATCCTCTGCCTTTGCTATGACAATCAGACCTGGCTACGTTCCGATGTGCACATAGATTAACTGCAGCATGCTGCAGTGAACTGGCGTAGACTGGTAACGACTCTCAGACCTGAGACCCTGCACGTCGATCGCCTCAAACCCGTGTTCTCTGCGCCTCACATCCACATTTGCAGAGCCTAAGAAGGTGGAGCCTTTCGCAGTCGGCACCTACCATCCCAACAGCTGATTTGTCGGTCGGTGGGTTGTTTGGTTAGTTGGTTAGTTGGTTAGTTGGAAATGAAGCAGGGAAGCCATCCCAAAGTTTCTTCTCCACAACAAGAAAATCACTTTGCTGCGTGACCCACCATGACCCGCCTCATAAGCAGCCGGGTCGGCAGATGGCTCTGCCATGGCTGGAGATCTAAGCTGTGAAGCTTTGGGCTGACGCTGCACAGCAACACAGGCCGGACTGGGGCTGTGAGAATGACTGCTGCAAACAGCTGATGGGACAGAAAGAAACCTCCTTGTTACAATGTCTCAACATTGAGCGCCCCAAGATAGAATGCTTTTTACATTTGGCCTGACTTGCAGCTCCACGTTTAGGGAAATCTGCAAACTGCTACACTCCGAAATCACCAGGCTTCGCCTTTGAATTCGAAGTCTAAAAAGCTGACTCCCGACTCTCCCTTGTGGGAGGTTCGCTGAAGCTGTATTTCCTCCGGCCTGTAGCGTTGCCATCCATGGGCGCAGTAAGTTGGAGAAACTGCAAGTCTTGAACCCCAAACCATGCTGTAGCTCCCCGAGCTCCCCTAGTTTAATATAAGCTCATCTGTATCTCACACTCCAACCACAACGCCAATGCCAAGTCACAATGCTCTGAGGATCGCACCTAGACAGCAACAGTCCAAAAACAAACAATTAAAGTAAACCCCCGGAGGTTTTGCTTCATTTAACAACATAACATCTGCAAACAAGAAAACATAACATCTGCAAACAACAACTACCCTGCCACATTTCTAATAATGTTTTTGCACTTGTTGTACTAATCTTATTTAACTTCAACTAGCTCCAACCCATTACCTGACGTGCGTCTCAGCCCTATATATATATATATATGTGTGTGTGTACACCCTTCACTGCCAACTCCACGTATGGCGCAAGTATACATGGACGTAGCACAGAGTAGCATTCCACGTGTTACGCAAGTCTGCATGAGCGTTCCAGAGAACTTCCACAGCGTAACATCAGGAACGTGTTTGAAATTGCCAGAGAACTTCCACAGCGTATCATCAGGAGCGTCTTTGAAATTGTAAGAGAACTTCCGCAGCGTAGCAGCAAGACATCACCCACCCACCTCACCCGGTTTCTTGCCCCGACAGGACGTTAGTACCCACCCCACCCCACCCGGTTCCCTGCCCCCGTAAAGCTAAGAAACAAAGCCGACAGGATGTTATTACCCCTCCCCCCACCCCACCCCACCCGGTTCCCTGCCCCCGTAAAGCTGAGAAACGAAGCCGACAGGACGCTATTACCATCCCCCCGCCCCAGCCCAGCCCACCCCACCCGGTTCTAACTGACGGGCACAACTTCTCAATGACGGGCTTCTAACACATGACGAAATTTACAACAGCGCTGTCGCCTGACAGGCACTGTCACCAAGAACGTTGTGTCAAGATGTTGTAGAAACTGCTAAGAGAAAGTGGTGCCATCAAGAGGTGTAGAAATTGCTAAGAGAAAGTTGAGAACGTAACATCAAGAGCGTTTGAAGGAAACTATAGTCGGCAAAACGCTATTACGCCCCCTCCTCCCGAACCCTTCCCCCCAAAAAAATAAAACAACCGAAACATCACCACAAAAGAAACAGCAAAAAAAAGCTGGGACGGTTTCCTACCCGCTGGCTCAAACATGCTGTGGAGCAGGATGAGTTTGTCCCTGACCTGATAACTCCCTTGCAAATTGAGCCATCAAGGGCTTGTTTTGAAAAGCAATGTCCGAATGGATGCAAATGCTGGACAATCCATTACTGTGTTTTTGTTGTTCAGCGGACCCAAATCTAAACTAACAAAGTTGTCAACTTTATAACAAGCTATTGTCTCCATGTTTTCGAAGTCCCCAGTTCTAAGCACAGCTTCTATGGCAAAAACATTCAACAGGTTGATCGTGCCGTCCTGCCCCCCTTTCAGTCCTTCAAATAACACTGCAACATACTCTTAACATATTGTAATATGCTGTGTAAGAAACATGATATGTACTGATAGAACCTCATCACTACTGTCTTGGACAGTAATTATAGAAATATAATTTTGACATAAAGTAGGTTGCAATGTTTACGCAGCGCTGAGTCCAAGACACTGTGAAAGGCACGGTCAGCTTCCACACAGAAGCAAACGAAGAGCCAACGACATGAACCCCTGCAATGCATGAAAACCCAACTTGATTTGCTGACGGAAGTTACCATGTGGAATTATACAAAGTCGCATTCACAGCACCTTGTTATATATATATATGTGTGTATGTATATGTCATTTTATATCAAAAGTGCTTTCACAGCACTTGACGACCTTTTGTAAGGATGTCACTGCTGTACAGTACATTGCACTTGGGACATAATATCAGATTGCATCAGTATCATATCATAACATTGTCCACACGATATATTGAAACATGCCAACATATTATGGAGAATAAATAATATACTGTATGATGTAATATGGCACAATACAACTTACACAATATTCTATAATATTATATAACATGTTTAAAGACAAACGAAAGACGTGTCGCAAAGTATGAACATATATTAAGAGATGTTAAGAGTGGATGTTAAGTGTAGATGATGTTCGGGATCTCCAGTGGTCTTCAATAAACTTGTCTTCACAACGCCCTGAGTGAGACACACCTTCTACATTTGTGACCGTGCTACATGCTAGCGAGGATTTACATATATCTTGATTACATAAGTGCTTTCACAGCACCGAGGAAAACTGCAGTAAATGAGATTGTGTTATATTATTCAAAATTATATATGACAGTGCTGTCGCAGCACCCTTTCTGAAAAACACAAACTTTTTAGACACCTATATACTACATATTATATATGTACATATAAAGTAGTAGCTGGGCGGTACTACATGATACTACATGGTACCGCATGGATGCTCTCACAGCACCCTCATTGAAATTAGCAATTACATAAATGATATACTCCCTATAGATTCCCCAAGTAGTGGATTTCCTATTGGCAAAGTAATAAAAAAAACATCTTCAGCGAGAACAAGAAAATGCCATGGAAAGGATGAAGGCTTTAATGCTGACTACACACCACGTCGCTGGCTTTTGGTACACCCAAAGCAGACCCCCAATGGTCCCTCTTTGGCGCACCCTGCCACAGGTAGTATATAGGCTGCAAATAAATTGACCGGCAGGGGGAGACAACCTCTGGAAGCGTGGCTGAACAAGTTGTGCAGATACAGCATGGTTGAGGCCATGTCAACCCTGTAAATAATGTATGAACTTATCAAATCATATATGAAAAAAATATGGAAATTGAAGCACAACATTTTTGGTTCCAATAGGTACTTACTGAAGTTTTCCGCATATTCTTGTTCTATTTGGCTATGGTTTACCATTTGTAGAATATTGTTGAATCCCAATACCTATAAATCATCAATATGCATTTGTTTGCGGCAAGTTCCCTGACTGACCGTCATTTGCAGGCTGGTTGAGAATGGTCATGAGAAACTCAACATAGGGAATCTCAACGTTTGACAACATCATGAGAAACCATCACGAGAAACCCAATGGATTTGAGATACCCTATATTGACACAAACCCCAAGGCGTTGGAGAATCCACCGCTTTTCTCGATGGCTTGGGCCTGGAGTCGACCCGTAAAACAAGTTCTGTTCAGAGGATGGAGGTGGTTTGCCGGATGAAAGATGTTGTATCATTAGCTGGGAACGTACCATTACTTGAAACCATGTGAAACCATTTGAAACCATTATTGTAAAATATTTTACAATGGTGAACTTCTACAATCATACTACCATATAATATATACCATATTATATAATATATACATGTGGGGCCCCCAAACGTTACACGTTGCTTGAAAAAAACCCATCTAACTATACTGAAAAAAGTACCATAAACCCAACAGTTATTGCCAACTTAGCTATCTTGGGGGCCCCACATTGTACCATATCATATATTATATAGTCACCATGGGCAATCTATGGTGAACTAGGCTCCCGACGGATCCCAGTACTGCTGCTCCAATTGGGCGGGCAATTCTGGACCGCCAATTGGGCGCCTGAAAAAACAAAAGGGCCAAATCATGGGAAAATGCGGGGAAAATCATGGGAAAGTGATGGGAAAATCAACTAGTAACTAGTTGCTGGCGTTCTGATCCCATAACTTTCTTTGGGCCATAAATATTCATAAATGTAGATAACTCCAAACAACCACATACAACCACTAGGGTCAGTTCTAATCTATCGCTGTTTTACATGTGTTTTTTGTTGGATTGGAGCTTAGGTGCTATCTTTTGTTTGGGGGTACTATAAATTAAAGAGCTACAACTGCGAAGAAATTGGCCTGTTGCATGCTGGAAAACCAGTTACAATCCCATTTATAGTGATTTCCCGTCATTTTCCCATCAAATTCCATCCTTTTCCCACCTATAACTGTATACAGTATATATCCCATGAAACCTAGAGTTATAAGCATCATAGTTTACCATAGTTAGATACTGTAATGGTCATTGTTTACCTCCATGTTAGAGCTTTAACTCTATATAAATCCCATAGTTATTGAAGTTACCAACTGAGCGGCGGTGTCATGTCCGGTTGGTTCTCTGGCTTGGCACCTGGGAATCTTCCATGGTTACCATCGCCAGTGAGACCTCCAGCTTGCTTATCCTCGGGCTGGGCCAACAATCAGACAATCTTAAGTTGATTTTCTTTGGGCTAACAACAATCCAGATAGTCCAGTTGATGTTCTTCAGGCTAAATCTCTTGTAAGCATCATTGAATCATTAGAATACATTCGCACACTATCTTGGATGTTGGATTTCATCGAATCTAGACTCCATCTCCATCTGAAAAACCCGTGGTTTGCCATCCCCCAACTGATGGTTGCTAGTGCGGCTAGCCATGCAAAGAAGCAAAACTAGTAGTGAATCCTATGGTTCCAAATATGATATCAACAAAGAATTGACATCACCATTCAATGGATAGCAGTAGAGAACTCACATGATTCCTGAACCTGCTCCAGAGCGACACCCATAGACGCCATAGCCCATAGCCATCGAACATCACGCAAAGCTTGGAATGTGCCGGGCCCAATTCCTGAAGATTCACCTACAGTACGACCCTCCAAGTCTCAGTTTCCTGGTTAGTTCCTATGATCCCATAATGGAGGATTTTTTTACGAGCAGTGGCAGCAGCGATGAAAAAAAAACTAAGTTCAATGCAAACATATATACCAATATCATTGCCTTAGACTTCAAAAAATCAACAAACATCAACAAAAACAATAGACATCAAACAACATCAACAAACATCAAACACATGTTCAACAAACATTGGAATATGACATTCCTCCACCAAAAACTTACAGCGTCCCATTCACCAACATCCGGTGTACAACTCGCCAAGATTCGGTGTACAACTCTCCAAGTTCTGACTCCTGAGAGCCACTACCTCAGATATGTCGCCGTGATGAGCCGCTGAGATTCAACTCAAAACTATGGAAATTCCCATTGCCAGGAGAAATGAAACAGGCAGCATTGAGAAAGAAAAACAGTGAACCATATTCAACACGTACATGTTCATGAAGTGATGAACAAATCAACAATTGGAATTCCGCCAAATGAACCCAATTGTATAGATGTCTACATTGTAAAACATACTGTAGACAAAAACATGCACAGATATATTATATTATATTATATTATCTATGAAATAGATACATTATCATTTTTTCTATAGTGTTTATATATACATAATATATCTTAATATTACTATGTTGCTATATTATTACTATATTACTATGCTTTGACCCACGGGCCGTCACATGCTTGGCCCACTGGGATGCCAGACCCACCTGAGCCCAAAGGCCTGGCAGCCTCTGGTAAACATACAAAAAACCATGGAACATGGCAGAAATAGTTGATTTACCCAGCAAAATGGTGATTAACTTAGTGACAACTTTGCAAGTGTCAAATTACCCTCTCGTAAACATACAAAAAAAAAGATGGAAAATCACTATGTTTAATAGATTTGAATAGGTAAATCAACCATAATAAATGGGTCATTTTCTATAGCAAACTGTTAGTTTGCCAGAGGGTAAAGGTTGGAAAGTAGTCACTAAGTAGTCTCCAAGCCATCTTGATGGCTGTTGGATGGTAACTTGATCAACATAGACATAGTTCAACACAGGCTGTGAAGCCACGTTTTCGTGGACCTACAAGACTTGGGATGGTGCCAATTCCAAAAAATAACACCAGCAGTCAAACCACCAATGGATACTGGTTGGTGGTTTCAACCCCTCTGAAAAATATGAAAGTCAGTTGGGATTGTTATTCCTAATATATGGCAAAAAAAAAAAACACCAACCAATGGATAGAATCAGGGCAAATGATAAGAATTCGCTGATCTGAAATAGAGCTCAAAAATGGGAGAAGTTACCACTAACCATCATGTCGCGGTGAGGGTCGCAGTGAGGGTCCTTATAATTTGCCCAGAATATCTATCATATTCTACTATAATATACTCCCATAGGATCCATGGTGCTGCTATATATATATAGTAACATTTACCATCAATATACCCCATTCATGTTAGCATATATACCAGCACCATGGATCCTATGGGTATATCTATACCCTCCGGATTCCCCATTCATTCAACATGGCAACAAGCCCATGATGGATTGATTGTCCTCCATGAATATCAACATCGGAAAAAATAACGCATGGCCATGTTGGATTACCACAGGGGATATCATAAATATACAATATGATAAGATTTTAATACATTAGATACACTGGATTTATAAACCAATAATAAGGGGAGGACAAAAGGAGTTCCGAGTTGACCCAATCACCGAAGAATTCTGACTCCATTCCATTCGTGGTATTTTATATATTTTATCACAACTGCCCTGGAAAACTCAAGGTTTTCCGACCACAGCACAGTTATCACCATCTTTCAGGGAATTCATCGAACTGGCTAAGGGCCATGGCTTCCATAGAATGCCTGAGGCTATGTCCAAACGTGAAATGTTCCCTCTTCCATAATGTTCTCCTCATTGGCAGAGGGTGGTGTCCCGCAGTTCTGGTTGTTGGTTTACTAACCGTCTATAAAAGCCATGTTGGGTTGGATGTTATAAACCATCTATAGTTAATATATAACTATAATATAGTTACAGTTATTAGATATTATTAGCACAACAAACCCAACAGTCAAGTTTGTCACAGACATTCTTAAAGCAACTTAGCTATTCCGAAGTGGGGCACTGCCGTGCAGAAATATCTTCCACCAAAGTCCCAATGGTATCCCATAGTCTTCCTCACTTGGTGCTGGGCAGGATGAATACCTGTCAGGCAGTGTCACGAGACATGGGCATGCGGGGTGGCCAACTCTGCCAGGTGTAGATATCACATGAGATGACCATGCGAAAGGGGCTGGGTTGTACCCAAGATGAAGACAAGAAAGTCGTTTTGTTCACCTCGCGCAACAACTGTGTCTCTCTCCAAGTGCAGTATTGTACACTGCGCTGCCAGCTTCATCGATCGGGATGCTTCAATGACTCCATGAACTGCATTCGCTGCCGCAAGGGCAAATCCTTCAACATCTGGCCCTGAGTATCGAAAACGTTCAGTCGCTGCTGCAGGGTCATATCCTTCAAAATCTGGCCCTGAGTATCGAAAACGTTCAGTCGCTGCTGCAGGTTCATATCCTTCAAGATCTGGCCCTGAGGATCCTTGATGTTCAGCCGAGATTCTAAGTTGCGAGGCAGCATGTTGTCTGGCAGCTTCCCATGCTTCCCCGCAAACCGCGCATTCAAATCCTTGGGCAACATGTTCGAGGGCAGCTTCCCATGCTTCCCCGCAAACCTCGCATTCAAATCCTTGGGCAACATGTTCGAGGGCAGCTTCCCATGCTTCCCCGCAAACCTCGCATTCAAATCCTTGGGCAACATGTTCGAGGGCAGCTTCCCATGCTTCAGAGCAAACCTCGCATTCAAATTGTTGGGGATGAAGCTAGGTGGCGTTTTGCCATTTCTGACCATCATCAGCTCGAGCTCCTTCATGGCTCCAAACACCCCAGATACAACCAGGGTAGATCTGGGTAGATCTGGGTAGATAAAGAGATAAACATCACCAATTTGATCCAATTGTCCCACCTTGAGGCTATCAATGTCCCCCATCTAACCATCAAACTCAATATTTCTACCATAAACCAAAAAGATCCAAAGAGTTAGAGCCTTTAGATATTGTAAATGTAAGGATATGTAAAGTAATCCCCTCGATATTTCAGGCCGCCCATTGGAGCCATGTCCTTGGACATCCCGCCAGAAGCGAAGCGCTGGGAGATCGTATTCAGTCGTTTCCCTGCCACGCGCGAGGCCAGGCCAGCGGCGCGGCCGGCGGCTTGGGGGAGGAAGCCCGAAGATTCCGGCAACATGGCCATGGCAAGGAAACAGAGGAAACGGAAGGCCTGCATAGAGATGACTTTACAAATCACAGTGGAAGCTACTTGCGATCTTGAGGCAGCTGCGAAAAAGAACGGGAGCATCACAAGAATCGCTCATGGATGGTGATCTTTCATGTCTTGTCTAGACTGAGCAAATGAACATTGGAAATGCTCTGGCTGAATGCCATGATATGCCAAATGTCATACTCTGCAATTGCCAAGTTCACTGCTTGCTCCATTTTCCCACACTGATGGGCGCACTGTGCCATCTTGATGGCATTCATGAAAACGATGATGCGAAGGATGGAGAAGTGGATGGAATGGATGGAAGGTATGGCATTGAAAATTCTACGAACCAATGTGAACTGTTGTGGCAATTATCAAAATTATTACAAGGTCTTCACCCCCAGTCATGAGTTCGCTTGTTACCCATCTAACATAATCTAACTATAGAGTATAGTTATTCACAATAAGCCCAACAACTAACCTACTGAACTAAACCAACTAGGCCTTGGGGGGCCTACTAAAACCCTGTTTTATTTTAGATGGATCCAGCATAAACCCAACATTAGACTAGTTTACCTACAAGGAGGTGTCCCGCCAGTTATGTTTTTTTGGATCTGTTTGGTTTATAAACTCCATTAGAGATAATGTGGGTTAAACAATAAACCACCCCCGAGTCATCACCCCCTTTATAGGTGGTATAAATAGACCATTCCCAGTCATGGGTGGTAAACATGACATTGTTTTACCCACACTAATTTTCAACCAACTTTGCAAAGTATCAAAGGCTTGGAGGTACCACCCGGAATTCATCGCCAATCTTAGATGCAAAAAATGACATTTTTTTTGCTGATTAGTAGATTATTCCCATTGATACCAAAAGACTAAAGGATTAAAGTATCCATCTAAGATTGACCTAGATTTTTTTTGGCGACAAAAAAGGGCGAAAATTCACACAGACACGGCCTGCAAAGGGACCGCTGGGCTGCCATGAAGTCGTGGGTGGAAAGGGGATGAAAAACCTCCAGCCGTCAAACGATTCGGGAAAAGGATGGTTGTCCAATAAATCATAGGAAAAAACACATGGGAAAAGGATGATTATCCAGTAAACGAATGATTGTCCATGCAGTAAACCAGAGAAAAAGATATGGATAAGATTAATCAGTAATCATAGCGAAAAACATGGGGAAAGGACTAGTGTGACATAATTATCCAGAAAATAACAGACGTGGGAAAAGTACGGTTATCCAGTAAATCATAGGAAACATATGCAAAAAGCATGATTATCAAGGACACAAAATAATGGGGAAAAATGGGAAAAGGATGATCATCCAGTAAATATTATATAATACTGATCATCCAGCAAATAATGTTGAAGATATGGAAACCAGTGATCTTAGGTCTAGAGTCTCGATAATTTACACACATATATTATATAGCCACATGCCAGTGAAATTTCCTTGATTGATAGTCTGGTTGGTGGTTTTAACATGTTTTAACCATCTTTAAAAATATGAGTTCGTCGATGGGAAGGATGACATCCCATATATTATGCAAAATAAAATTCATGTTTGAAACCACCAGTAGCGTTTTGTTCCCCGACCTCAAAGTTTCTTGGTCGCATTTCCTTCACGGATGGCTCTTATCCCGTCGGATTTGGCTTCCGATCACTCATTGTCTCCATGTGGGTGTGCCTGAACATGGGGTACCAAAAAAAAAACGGCAAATGATAATCATCCCTATTGAAAGCAGCTCATGATCATCTTCCCCGTTGAATATATGTAATAATATTATGTATATATATATATCATTATATATCCAATCCCATGTTCAGACAGACCCAACATGACCAACTATAGATATACATCCCATATAAATATTACTTAGCCCAGTAAGAAACCAACAGAAACCTTGAAACGAATACACGGGTATTCGTATGCATGGGGGGATGACCAGCCCCTTTCATGGGAGAATAGCCTATCTATCCATCTATCCATCAATCTATGGATCTATCTGATCTATTTAAACTACCATCTGGTTATTTAACATAACTATGGAAAATCACCATTTTAAAAAGTTAACCATCTATAAATGGGCCATTTCCAATAGCTATGTTTGTTTGCCAGAGGGTAGATGTTCAATGTCCAAGATCTATGTTATAAATGCATGTTATATATATATAATGTTATATAATCATACATGGTCAGTCGTGTTCCCACAGACAGATGTGCCTGCCGTTATTATATCATTTTACATTGCAACAAATTTCGACAAGTTGTTTGTGCCTGACTTTCTGGTCCTGCCACCCCCCTCCTTCAGCCCTTCAAATAACACTGCAACATACTGTAACATACTCTGAAATACTCTTACATTTTTTGCAATATGCTACATGTAAGAAACATGATAGAGCCCCATGACTACACGAGACGGGAAAAACATAGAAATACAGGAGGTTGCAGTGTTTAGGCAGCGCTGAGTCCAAGTCACTGTGAAAGGCAAGGTCAGCTTCCACACAGAAGCAAACGAAGAGCCAACGACATGAAACCTTGCAATGCATGAAAACCCAACTTGATTTTGCCACTATAGAAGCAAAAACTTCCAACCATTCACCAAGGTACAGAAGTAAAACAGTGAAAGGATCACCCCGCACTATACGCAGGGCGCCATGGTATATACAATCTTTGCCGATTTACAAATATGCTTCCCTCATCTTCTCTCCTGCTTTTCCTTTGGGACACAAACCTGTCAAATTCACAGACTTACCATACCATTGGACCGTGCTGCTGAGGTAAGGTTTTCTCGAGTTTGCCATTTACCGTCTTACTTGTCTGATTTATTCCTAGATTTGCTGTTTGACAATACCTGGTCCGGGAAGCCTACTCAGGTGTCACACATGTTCTGCATTGAGCAGCATGCAGCCCAGCCAAAGGAGAGCCGGCCCCAGTTTCAGATGGCTTTTTGATTTGGCCATATTTGTAGCTTACAGAAGGGTATGATGCGTTCTTTGTAGTAAGGAGAAGCATGTTCCAACACCACGTTGTAGTTCAGAGTTGTGCTTTGTAGCACGGATCAGTATGTTCTGTGTGTAGGATAGATTGCTTCGCTTCGTTCTGTACAGAGTACAGAGCGGGACTCTTGTCATAGGTGTTAGTCCTTAGCAATGCGGAGTAAAAATTGCCGAGGTCAGATCATATAGCAACTGTAGCACTTCATAGTTGTATGGAGTAGTGCCTTGTCTCACCGGCCTGTGGCCTGGCGAGTGCTCTTGTTGCTTCGAACAGTGCTCTCCAGCACAGAGATTTTTTTTCTAGTACACATAGCCTACGCATACACGAGTACTCGACAGTACTCGTTTATTTTTACCGCACAGATGTAAGAGACATCCCTTACATCGAACCACAGCCAGCACTGCAAATGCACCCTTATCTAGCGTACTTCTTCGGGAGGCAAACTGCTTACACTCCTTACACCAGCATGCTCTGTCACAACGAGAACATCGGTTCGCTTCGAGTCGTCACTAATATCTTGCAATCCACATTCCCGAGAAGACCCTCTAGCCAATACACCTGAAAGACAGAAACCCATGGAAATCCACTGTATTTTGATGGTTTGGCCTTGGAAAATGGTTGTTTTGGACTCCATCAGTTTCCTTGAGGTCGCCTGCGCCCATCAGCATCTCTCTGCTCATAGACAGCATCCTGCAAAATGGAACCGTCAGTACATGTCATAACCCCAATCAACTCCTACCTGTGCACAGTCTTGGGGTGCTATACCCCAAATTAATCCAATTCAGTTCAGGATGGATACTTGTCTGCGTATCTATCTATTGATCGATCTATCTAACTATATATCTATATACATAGATACTAGATACTATATTGCCTTTGCTATGACAATCAGACCTGGCTACGTTCCGATGTGTACATAGATTAACTGCAGAATGCTGCAGTAGACTGGTAATGACTCTCAAACCTGAGACCCTGCACGTCGATCGCCTCAAACCCGTGTTCTCTGCGCCTCACATCCACATTTGCAGAGCCTAAGAAGGTGGAGCCTTTCGCAGTCGGCACCTACCATCCCAACAGCTGATTTGTCGGTCGGTCGGTGGGTTGTTTGGTTAGTTGGTTAGTTGGAAATGAAGCAGGGAAGCCATCCCAAAGTTTCTTCTCCACAACAAGAAAATCACTTTGCTGCGTGACCCACCATGACCCGCCTCATAAGCAGCCGGGTCGGCAGATGGCTCTGCCATGGCTGGAGATCTAAGCTGTGAAGCTTTGGGTTGACGCTGCACAGCAACACAGGCCGGACCGGGACTGTGAGAATGACTGCTGCAAACAGCTGGTGGAACAGAAAGAAACCTCCTTGTTACAATGTCTCAACATTGAGCACCCCAAGATAGAATGCTTTTCACATTTGGCCTGACTTGCAGCTCCACGTTTAGGGAAATCTGCAAACTGCTACACTCCGAAATCACCAGGCTTCGCCTTTGAATTCGAAGTCTAAAAAGCTGACTCCCGACTCTCCCTTGTGGGAGGTTCGCTGAAGCTGTATTTCCTCCGGCCTGTAGCGTTGCCATCCATGGGCGCAGTAAGTTGGAGAAACTGCAAGTCTTGAACCCCAAACCATGCTGTAGCTCCCCGAGCTTCCCTAGTTTATACTTTCTTATAAGAGCGTCCACTCTCACAGCCCCCACATGCCTAGAAAAATCTAGAAAAAATGTGTGTAATCGTATTGATAACAACAATCCTAATAGTAACAACAAGCATCAGCATCAATAGCAATATGCCAAAAAAATGGCACGATGACACATTGAAATCTTGATAGTGAATGTTTATATAGCGACGGACAAATACTTAGAACATCATTTGGAAAAAAATCTGAAAATCGTCACAGCGGGGATGTTCTAAGTATTAAGTCGTTAGAACATACCCAAAACCTATACTTAGAACATTTCCAAGCTATACTTAGAACATCCCAGTGGGGAACCAATAATGAGGCATCTCCAAAACATTCAAAATTATACATAATTCATTTTAGCTCATTTTAGTATTGAAACCTATGCTTTTTGACTACCCGCTGTAGGAAACCCACAAATTATATACTAGAGACCTTCCCATTGCAGCGAAGACTGCTTGGGATATTGTTCCCGAAGAAAAGGTATAGAATGCTGCAGCAGTGAGGGGAAAAAGTGTTCTAAGTATGGTGTTCACCAAGGTATTTGTGTGTATATTTGCAGATGCACCAAAGTAACAGGACATGTTCTAAGTATATGTGTGTTTAATGTTCTAAGTATGCAAAAAATCAAAGGAGATGTTCTAAGTATCTGTTTTTCTGATGTTCTAAGTGCGTACTTAGAACATTTCTGATGTTCTAAGTGTAGTTGTTTTGATGTTCTAAGAAAAGGTTCCGAAATTTTGGAAAAAAATTGATGTTCTAAGTATATGTCCGTCACTATATATAGTATGTATATGTCATAGTGATTCATAGTGTACATATCTCAACTTTCCAATGTTTGGCCACCCGAATTTCTGCTGCACCTCTTCTTGGGACTGGAGCCATTCGAGTATACGCAGGCGCTCAGTGGCCGCCCGCGACTATGCGATCTCTGCTCGCTATAGCCCGGTCGCCATCGGTTCACAAGTAACCGGGCGTCTTTCCCTGGGAAACTCAATTCGCAAACCTTGGTTCAGGGTCTCCAGGTCTTGATACCTTCGCCTTCCTTATCAGTTCGGACAAGGAAACAGAAAGCATCAAGTTACGCCTTCAAAAGAGCTTTGTACTTGTTCAATCTTGTTCAAGCAAGCCACATCTCTGTGCTTCTTCAGCTGCACCTGGGAGTCTCCTTTCTTCTGCATCAACGCTTTTTGTTCGGCTTGAAGCTTCTGCATCCGTGCGATGACCTGTGGAAGGTCGGATTCCGGCTGCTTCGGGAACAGCGAGTGCACCTTGCAGGGCCGGCAGGGTTGATCAAGAGACTTCAGCGGATACACGGAAGGGGTGTTGTGTCTGTGGAAATTTGTGGACACCCCATTCACTATGCATCACTATGCATCACTCTGCTACCTCTACCAAAACATCCAAAACAATACTCAACCTAGTACCTACTAGGTATAAACTCAACTTCGCCACGGCGAAGACAGGCAGTTCAATGCAGTTCATGTTCCCTCGTGAAAGTCGGGACCCGAGCTGAAACTTGTGCCTGCTTCCGAGGTAGCCCGGGCCAGTAGCCCAAGCGCTTTGCCGTCTCAGCTTCAGGACAAATGGCGGGTGACGACTGGCTTGCATTGAGCCTTGCCGAAAGGAAGCGTTTGTCAAAGGTGCTCAAGACTCAAGCAGCTATTTGATGGTAAAAACGCAATACATAGCAATACAATGCACTACATGGCAATACATGGCAACACATAGTAACACATGTTCTAAAACCCTTCTCCTTCAAATGTTAGGGATCAAAATAAAGTTCTTACATCCGCCGCGAGAAAAGCTCTAGGAAGTGCCTAGAGGTCTTCACCTTTTTGTCCTGAAGCTGTCGAAGCTTTTGGCGCTCCTGGCTCAGCCAAGAACAAGACTGACATTCTTCCGTTGAGCTTTGCATAGTTTTGCCTTCTTGCCCCGCTTAGCCATGTCACATGATGTCATGGAAGTTGCTGCTGCAAATGGAAGGCATCCTTCCTGGACTATCCTGGACAAAATTCAGTGATGCAACACCAGCCTGCACCCTCTGACAATAGAAGGCTTAGTAGGCTTGGCGGTTCTTAACCCAGCGGCCTAGTGTCTCCCAGCCTTCAGGATCTGTGGCGCGCTCTGCGGTCGCCCCATGGGCTTTTGCAAAGCCTAGTGCCGAAACGAGCGAAACTAGGCCATTGGGTCGCAAGGTGACTGGAAACTGGGTGGAATCTCACGAGTCAAAGTGTCTCACCTGGTGATACAGACACAACATGAGACAACCTTTTAGGGTTTGACTTGGGGACATGAAGACATGACCCGGGGTGGGGCGACTTCCCACTGACACTGAAGGAGATCCTCTAAGGTCCCCGCTCTTTCCACCGGGCAACGCGGCACGGCGCGGTTGTCAGCTTCAAAGGTGGCGGCACAAAGATGGCCCTCGCGATGCCTCCAGGGACAGAATCCAGGGCTGGGAATTCAGATCATTATGATATTACATCCCAAAATTTTGGGTTTTTAACGAGTTATATTTTTGTTGACAGTACTTGGGTCATATACCTTATATACCCCCTATTTTGGGGTACAAAGTTGGGCGGAATGAACCAGTTGATTTGGTGCAGTCTCAGACGAAGCGTCCGACAAACTTGCGATGGACTCTGGAATGCTTGAAGAAGTTAGACTGTACTGAATCCATCTTTGGCTCTTGGGCATACCAGTTTCTGTGATTGCTGTTGTAGAACTGAGTTTCGAGTTCGATCCAATTCTCTAGTGTTTGTTCAAGTTGGTGGATTGGCTGCTAGTGCTACTTTCGTGAGTGGGATCCAGCACAAAGAAGTATGGAGACTCAGCGGAGACTCAGCGGAGACTCAGCGGAGACTTGGGAAAAGAATCTTCTCTTCCAGTTCTATGGTGATTAAGAGATGTTAAGACAAAATGAGCTGCAAATTCCATTCCTTCTGATAGTCTCCCAGTTGCACCTGGAGTGATTCTGGAATAAGACGCGAGGACAAAGATTGTAAACAACAGGTGTTCTCCTACTGACGAGATTTCATTCCTCCCTCCGGGTGTACTTACTCTTCTGCACACACAGCAGCATAGGATTGACACAAGAGTTAGCAGTGCTTACCTCAGAATTCAAGCCCTCTTCCATCACTTCGGTGTCAGTGCGTGATGACTCGATGACTTTTCAAATTTCCAATCCCAGCCTGTGGATGAGCCAACTTGTGGGATCATGTGCATAGGCAGGAGAGCTGTTTTCTTTCGCCCTGGCACCCTTGGTGCTTCGCATGTTGTCCGGAACATCTTCGGGTCGCAGTGCCCAGAAGAACTGCGGCCTCGCTGGGACCCGGGACTCCGGCGCCGAGGCTGGACGACGAAGGGCCGCCGCCTTCATCTTTCGCAGGCCATCTCACCGGCAGCCGCTTACCCAAGACAGACTACCTGGAGACCTAGCCCTATGGCTGCGGAAGGCCCCCCCCATTGCTACATGTGTTTTTTTGTTTTTTTTGTTTTTGTCAGGTGTTAATGCCTTTGTGAAGCCATCTTGGGTTGGAACTGCAACCCGAAATGCTGCCAAATCTGCAAACCTGGAAACAACATGAGCAGTCAGACGGCGGCCTCTTCCAACGTCACATTGGCTAAGGTTCCCAGGACCTCTTGTGTGGTGCATGGGGTGTCAACTTTGCCAGAGGTTGTCGCGCAGAATCACTCGCCATCCATCGAACGTTCAACTCCCCTTCTGTATTGTGAAATCTTGGTGTGAGTTCAGATCAATGCAAACAGTGATAAAACCTCTGGACATTGAACATTTAACATCGCCATGGAAAATGGCAATGTTTCATAAGTAAATTATCTACACATAGGTAATTTTCCATGGCTGTTAAACATTGACAATTCCATACATCATCATAGATAATTTTCCGTGAAAAATGACCATTGATAGTGATCTTTCAACAACAAACCCTTCGCCTCCACCAGAAAATCCGGATTGTCCACGGAGCAAATGGCCATGCGTACGAATTCGTTCATCCACTTCGCCATACGCACCTTGGAAGGTACCCGGTACGGAAGTCACAACCAGAGAACTCAGAAACATCAATGGGCCTAAGGAATTATACAACATACTCCAAGATAAACACAAGATAATCCAACAACATAATGTGTTAATTCTTTTGATCATTTTAGAAACTGTGACTTGCCAGAATCTAACAAACCTGAGATCGTGACTCCTTCGCTGTCCAGGAGTTCACACATCTGCTCCAGGACACCGGAATGAGAAGCCACGTTTCGAATCACCTGAAAATCGTCCAACCCACGTGAACACCCAAAAATTGCAGTCAACACTTGCGGTCACCTGCAGTCATGAATATTCCGGTCATGTTTGGTTCATGGTTGATGTCTGGTTCATCTTTGTCAGTTTCAAGATTCCTCAGCTTGTTTCCGAATTTCCCTGCCTTGCATAGAAGAGGATCCCGATGCTTCATGACCCGGAGCATGATGGGAGGAAAAAGCCCGCTTTGCAAAATGACCTGCGCAGGTTGTACATGCTGCAACTGAAGCGTTAGCCTTCAACAATGACATCCATGAATCAACAGGCGTCCTCTGCTTCGTCTATCGTGACGGGCCATACTCTTCCACTAGGACAAGACCATTTGACTCCACAAGTTGCTATTTTCTGGAAGAAACAGTACTATGGTGGGCAGGTTAGGTTGCAATTTTGAAACCAAGATCTGAACAGGAAAGTAAAAAGGCTGATTCAAAAATGTGTCATGTTCAGAGCAATCATCAACAATCTGAATCTAATATGGTATTTGTGTCTCTGGTGGTCCATTTGGTAGTGCCAATTATGATTTAAATGATTAAAATGATTAAACTGATTAAACTGATTAAACTGATTAAAATGATTAAAATGATTAAAATGATGATGATGATGATGAGGAGGAGGAGGAGCTATGACGGTTTTAGAACACCAAATCGCTACAGGACTGATTTGAACATGCTTTGATAAATTCTGAGTACCTTGATTTCCCGCATGCGGTCGAAGGTCGAAGGTCCCACCAATGGCCTCTGCAGCTCTTGCGTGAGTTGCTAGGTTCACCATGAGGGCAACCAAATCCTGGCAGCACGTGGCAATAACTTGAGAGCATACGATATTCGGGCTGGACATACACTACTTAATTATATATATATAATGTATATATATATATATATATAGTCTCATTCTCATCAGTGCCAGCAACTAAATTGTTCTGGGATGCTTGAATTCTGCTGTTTGCTCGGCAGGATGTGGCCTTGCCAACTCTTGGCTCCGGGAAGTGAACCACCAGCTGCAAGAGCATCACCATGCCATCCTGTCAGCATCTGAACCAGGTCCCAGTTGCGTTCATTCTGATGCTTGCATGATCCATAGGTTTCTTGGCTACGGCATTCGGTCCCTGTGGTAGGCCATGAGCGACTTGCAGCGGTCATCCATAGAAAAGTGGTACCTGGGTCAAGTCCGCAACACAAGTTCTGTCTGTCGGAAGCCTCAACAGCCTCAACAGCTAAGATCCCTGCAGAAGCCGCAACACAATGTGCCGGAAGGGTGGATTCTTCAGCGAATCTACCTGCACGGAAAAGAAGCTCCACAGGCTTACATTGCTCGATATGGGTTCGTCAGAAAATGAGGGACCCAAAAAATCCATTGCTTATCATTTTCCCCATGAAAACTGCTCTGTCAGTTGTGAGTTAACCATGACATCCCCCATCAACAAAACCATGTCATTTGGCAAAGCAACAGCGCGCCAGAAGCTTGATGATTCCCGACTCCACCAGCGCAGCTCGCACACGCTCATCAAACGAGAGGTTGAACCTGGGGGTCACTGGGGTGCTGCCCCAATAGTGGTGCTCAGTTTGATAGTCCAACGTCCAACTCCTTTATATACTTACTTCAAAATTCACAAGACATCGGGGGTTTTGCCACTTTGACTCAAGCATGGGAAACAAAACTCACCAAGCAAATCTACTGCAGCGATCAAATGCTGATCTTCCATCTATTAAATCTCTTTGAAGCAATTCATGAACCAAAATGGCCAAAACATCTGGATCCCCAATGTTTCGAGACCCAGGCAACAGCCGCAGAGACAGCAGCGCAATGCGCTGGTTCTCATGCTGAGCCAACCTCACCAGGTTCGACAGGGTCTCGGGAACCGCGATTTGCTCCTGCAGTTGCAAAGTTAATGAAAGTTGAATGCATGTTGCACATTGTTGCACCCTTTTCTTTCTATCCCGAAGGTCTTGATGAAGAAATGTATTTTGGAGGGATGTCAAACCAACCCAATTCAAATTGCTGTATATATCTGTATATACTAGTATATATCTGTATATACTAGACCAAGAAAGCTGATCTTCTGAGAAGCCCAAAACCGAACTCTTGGCGGGGATTTCGCTGGAAGCAACTGAAAGATCCCTGAAGGTCCTTGTTTTCTTCGAAGACACTCAGCTTTTTGAGAAAGGTGAGCGTAACAAGGAGCAAGTCTTCTTGGCTCCTCTTCTGCGAAGCACGAAGCAAGTCAAGTCACTTCATCTTGTTG